AATTGAACTCGGGGGCACTCAACCACTGAGCCACATCCCCAGCCCTATTTTTGTATTTTATTTAGAGACAGGGTCTCACTGAGTTGCTTAGCACCTCACTTTTGCTGAGGCTGACTGACTCTGAACTCAAGATCCTCTTGTCTCAGTCTCCTGAGCCATTGTGATTACAGGTGTGCGCCACCTGGGCAACCCCGCGGGCATTCTGAAAGGCTCCCCCTGGCTGCCACATGGAAGGGGCTGGAGTGGCAGTGGAGACCGGCTGGTTTGCAGCATCTGCCAGACACTGCCACTGTTGGAACCAGCCCAGACGCTGCGGCAACAGCCTTCACCTGCATGGGCCATGCATGGAGGGGAGCAAGGACTCTGTCCTGCTGTTCTTAAGGTCCCTGAGCCCAGTGCTGATCCTGGCGGGGGTGAGGTCTCTGCAGGACTCTGGGGACTTGCAATCTTCGGGGAGCTTGGAGTTCTAGAGAGGAAAGCTGGGCCTTCTTGCTCTCAGGTGCGCAGCCCTGTGTGGGGGTTCCAGGGACTCATGAGTGGCTTATGGCCTCCTGTTCCCACGGCCCCTTTCCTGGCCATCTTGTAGCCTTCCAGGGGTGCTTCCTGCCTCTGCCTGGGCTCCCCTCTGTCCTGGCAGAGACTGGGCTTTGGAAACACTGAAGCCAAGGACTCTTTCCCAGCTTCTCTGGGAAGCTGCTCTTAGCCTTTCCCAAGGTGACACATCTTCCTGGAGGAAGAGTGTGCCATCTGTGGAAGGTGGGACATCATCTAAGTCATAATCTTGTCAAAACTGTTTACTCTGAATCTAATCAAAAGAAAACATAATAAATCCAAATTATGCAACATTCTATGAGATGCTTGGCTACTTTAACATATAATTATCAGGAAAACAAAAAGAAAGGCAGGGAAATTTTTTGATTCAGATACTAGAGAAACATGGTAACAAAATGAGCGAACCTTAACTGGACCCTTGATGGACAGGGGAAAGCCCTAGGAAGCATTACGCGGGCACCTGGAGCTTGGCACTTTAGGTGACATTAGTGCCTGGGCTCTGATGCTCTCCTGGGTAAGGGAGGCCCTGTCTGGAACATTCTTCTGTGGAATTTGAGAGTGATAATGGTAGGATTGCCAGGCATGAAATGTCTTCATTCTTGGGAGTTGCACAACATGTTTTGGTGCCACTCTGCCAGGAGGGCCAGGAGTAGAGGCCAGATTCTGCATGTTGCTCCTCATCAGCTGATGCTTCTGATATGGGTGGCAGGGTCCTTCCTGGGCCTCTCGCTGTAGCAGAAACCCTCAGTCTCTGAAGAGCTGAGGGCTACCCTAGGCCCTCCAGGCCCACAGGGGCAGCTGGGCTGCTACCTGCTGGTGGCCTTGAAGCTCAGCTTGATTCCTCACCTGCCTTCACTCACGGCTGGCTGCTGGGACCCTCTTCACTCACCTTGAGCTCACCCTGGTTGGTCTCAGGGCAGGAGTAGGTCTGGGAAGGCACAAGCTCCAGGAGTTCATCAGCATCCCATGGTCACTGACACTCAGCCACCACTACCAGACACTGGGAGCCAGGAATGAGGGCACACTGGTCTGAGCGCAGGGGGCTGGCTACAGGGTTGGGTGGGCTCACAGGGCTGGCTGGTGACGGGATTGGCAGTCTGGACAAAGCTCTTGGGAAAGGGAGACCTGTGGTCACTGGTAGCCTGGTTTGGCTGGACCGAGAGGAAATGGTGACTGCGGTTCCAGAGTCTGGCCTGAGGGCTTTCTAAAGGCACTTTCTCTCCCTCAGTTGGTAGGCAGGGTTGGCACCTACCATGCCTTCTGCCTGGAATGCACTTTCTTACCCCCAAAGCTGCTCAGTTCCCCATCTTCTGGTGGGGACCAGAATGCTCCTGCCCAACCTGGAGGAACCAGCTCCGGTTCTGCAGCCTCCCTCCACAGCCTCCCCTTCTCTGTTGTACACTTGAACTCATCACTGAGTTTTTTTCTTTTTCTTTTTTTGTGGTGCTGGGGATTAGAACCCAGGGCCTTGGGCACTGGAGGCAAGCACTCTACCAACTGAGCTATACCCCCAGAGCCACACTATAGGGTCTCTCCTGCCCAGTGAGATTGTGCGGCCTGCATAGCCCTGCACCTTTTAAAGGTGAGTCAGGCAGAGGCAGCGGCCAAGCTGACTCCCCGGCCGGAGCTTGGCAAGTGTGTTGGTACACGTGCTGCCCGGGGGGGAAGCGGCACTGGGCACTGGGTAGCCAGTCCTGGAAGATGTGCAGAGTCGGATCCGAGGCCAGCCCATGGGCTCTGTAGGAGCAGCTCCTCAGGGAGCCTTTTCCTCACAGGCAGCTGCAGGGCAAATGCTGCACTCTAGCTTCCCGGGCAAGACATGCCATTCGCCTTTTCACCCAGGATCACAGAGCTGGCGCAAGACAGTCGGAACTGTGGCCTGTCTGCTTCCTGGGGTGTCTACTGCCACTCCCCGCCCCTCCCAGCCTGGCCCACGAACTGCAATAACACCGGAAGCCGCCGGGGTACACTTTACCTCATTTATTCTCACAACATGCCTGTGAGGTAGGGAGGGGCAGGGACTGTCCCCATTTTACAGAGGAGGAAATTGAGGCACACAGAGGTCAAGTGACTTGCCCAAGGTCACAGACGGCGGCCAAGCTGGATTGGGGCCCCAGAGCAGGCCCTTGGTTCACCCAGGGGGACCCCCTGCAGCACGCGCCGGACAAGAGGATGTCTCCAATGCCCTGGAGTTGTATGCCCAGTACCGAGCAGCCCCTGGCATGCCCAGTGCCCCGCTGCCCTTGCCTGGCCTGCCCCACCCCGCCCTGTAGGCCCGGGCCTCTGCAGCTCAGGGCTCCTGACACCCGGGAGAAGGGATGGGGCAGGGAGAGGGAGGATTGGGTTAAAAAAACAGAACGGACGGAAAACTCAAGAGGCTGGGCTGGCGGGGGTGGGTGGGAGGGACAAAAAAAAAGGGGGGGGCTGCTTACACACAAGGTCTATATTTTTACACACACTTGTACACACACCTAGATATAGTACATGTAAAAATATATGCTATTCACACACCCGCCTCCTGCCAGGTGCCCCGAGAGCCGGTGGTGGCGCAGGTGGCAGGTGGGCAGAGGGCGTTGTTAAATATACACTCTAAGGTCTATGTGCATATGTACACATACGTACAGACACCGCCACCTGCCCTTGGGCACTGGACACAGGTGCGGCCAAGGACAGCCAGCCCCTGGAAGCCACTCTGAGTCCTAAATTTTCTTTTGCTGAAGGAAGAAGGGGCTGGAGAGAAGGGAAAGACTGGAGTCTGGACGCGCAACCGTGGTTCTGCCTCATTCCCCCAGACACCAGCGCGTTCCTCATCTGCTCAGAGGCAAGTCCTGTCCGACGTCGCCTGGGGCAGCGGGAGGCCCTCGCCTGTGCGTGTGCGTGCGTGAGTGCGTGCGTGGAGACTGTGTGTGAGCACTTGGTGGGGGGGGAGCCGTCCCGCCCTCTGCTCTCCCGGCCTCAACCCCAGAGGTGGAGACGCAGAAGCCGCTGGCCACGGTGGCGTCCCCTGTGTGAGCTCTGAAGGGAAAAGAAAAATGTAAGAATGAAAAATCCAAGGTGAGCGCGGGGTAGCTGGGAAAAGGAGGGACATGGCAGGTGCCCAAGGCTGCCCTTGGACGGTCGTCGTCTTGTAAACAAGCTAGTTGAAGTTCTCATTAGATAGAACAAGTAAAAAGACCGCAGTCTGAGGCTGGGCCGGGAGTTGCCGAAGTCCACCTGTCCAGTCCACCACGGCCAGCGGGAGGGAAGAGAGTTTTTAGCTTTGTTGAATTTGTGTGTGTGAAGTCTTCATAACCTAAAGCTGGGAGGGACCCAAAAAAGCCAAATCGTGAGCCCTTGTATGCTTCAATTTGAAAGTTGGCTCAGGGTCTCTAAAGAGAATAACCATACTAAAGGTTGAGAAAATTTTGTTCCATTCTCATTAAGATTTTTTTTGTGTGTTTTTTAAACACTTTAAAATTGTTTCCTTCCTTCTTTCTTTATGGTCTCAGAGCCTGGTCTGGGCCTCAGGGACATAAATTTCGATGCTGTCTGCGCTCTCTGTGGCCGAGTTCTGCCGCACGGAAGCTGCCCGCTTGGCTGCCAGAAGTCTCTTGCGGGCCTCCTGACGCTGCTTGTCTCCTGCGTCTGAGGCCTTGTCGCGGCTCACTGCTGGCTTGGATTTGGCTGGCTTCTTTGGGACCGGAGGGGGTGGTTTCTTCTCTTCCTTTAGTAAGACAGTGAGGAGGGAACAAAAATAAAATAAAGGTGCCACGTTTTGTGTGGCGCTGCCCCCAACTAAATGCTGCAGCTGGATCTCCCACCCCAGCCTCCCTGCACTGGGCACAGGCAACACACCTGGAATCAGGAAGCCACAAGAAGCGATGATAGTGGGAGTAGCACAAGGCAGAGGAGCAAAAAGCAAGCCAGAATCTAGAATGTTCTAGCAGTAAAGGACAGACAGGTCACCTGTTCCCACCCTGCTCTGAGCCACTGGGAGCCTGAGGCTCAGGCAGGAACCAGCCAAGTCCTCCAGTCAGAGACAGGCCTCCGACTCCCTGGTCATACTCTGCATGCTCTCCTGGGGATCAGAACTTACAGGGGCCACGGCCCAACACGGCAGGTCCTACTGATTTACAAAAGGAAGCGTGAGCCTCAGGGAAGAGGCTGTTGCCACAGGAGGGGGAACAGGTCCAGACCCCAGCACTCCTGGCAGTAAGGCCCCAGGAGAAGGGACCACTTGGCTGATTGCAAAGTTCCAACAGCCACGTCTCCAGTGCTGTGGCGTGGCCACATCTCTCCCAGGACTCCCCTTCTCTGAACATGCAGGGCAGGCTGGCATGCTTCAGGGGGCAGCCTCAACTACACAGAGCGAGCAGCAGGCTGGACAAGTGCCAAGCATGGACCCCGGCAGTGATGGACGTGAGCCCCAGCTCAAGACGACACACGGAGAAGGGAGCCAAGCAGCACTGACCGATGTGGGCAGCGTTATTGTCGACCAGGAATTTGTCCCTGGACTTCCCCTCCGCACTGCTCCATGCTCACCTTCCTCTTCTCGGGGGTCTCCACCAGCTGCCAGCTGTTGGCCTTGAGGTGGTAGAGTTCATCAAACTTCATGCTGATGTCCTCGATGGACAGCTGAAGCAGGTCCCAGAACCCTGCCAGGTCCTGGGCTGTTGGACGTGGGTTGGCATCAGGGTTCTGTGGGGCAGAAGGTGATCAGTGGGAGGGCAAGGCAGAAGCTTGTCCTCCTGCCCACACATGGTCCCTTGGCTCTGCCAGTCCTAGAGGGGCTTCTGAGTCTAGTCCTGCTCCCTGATTCCCAGTGCCTGTGTCAGTAGCTGGATGAGTAAACAGAGCCAGCTCCATGTTGGTGTCAGCCCCAGAGGCAGGTGGGCCCTTGGAAGGAGGAAACCGGTTAATCACAAGAACAGGCCCGGCCCACGCCTGTGGACCGAGGCCATCGTCACCACCGCAGGACCATGTGAGGAAGGTACTCATTTCCTCATGGATGCCGCAGACCCAGGGGTTCTCATTTTACAGGGAAGAAACACTCTTGACTGGGGTATGCCAGTGAGGTGGGGACATGCTGGACTCACTCCAGGTACATTGATTACTGGACCCATGCTGTCTCCCTCCTGTCACTTTGTTCCATGAAAATACAACCCACAAGTGCCACTGGCCTCACTCCTAGAAGTCCTCCCTGCTGGTTCACCGCAGAGACTCTGTCCTCCTGACAGGTGACCTGGAGAGGAGGCCCACCGAGGCTGGCGGGGGCGTTCCTTCAGTTCTTACCTTGCGTGCTGTGCTGTCTTGGGTATAGAGAGGACTACAGAGAAGTCGGTCAGTGCTGACCGACCAATGCTCACATGGCTGTTCTGACTCTGTGGTCAATGATCTTTCAGGAGCGCCACTCCTGGTTCTGTCCTGTGCTAGGCACGGGAATACACTGCGACCACTTCCCAATGCCACGAGGAAGCAGGACCTTCTCCATGCTATGGAGGTTACAGAGGCTTGTGAAGGGACAAGAGTCACACTCACCAAGTTCTGCTCACAGAGGCCCCGGAACTGCTGGAATTTCTGGGACATCAGTAGCTGGGCGCTGCCCACAGCACTGAGGACTTTTCCTAAGACTGAGGGAGAAAGGGAGAAAAGCCGACTTAGCCAAGCACAGGGTTGCTGGGGTGGGTCAGGAACACATATATAAGTCAGTATCTGGCGATGGGTTGGATCTTCATTTATTTACACATTAATCCATTCTGAGAAAAATGCAAACAATATAGATAAAGTGAGCCCTGTTTCTTACTTCCTAAGGACATTTTATGGCAATAAATTCGGAAATTAAGCTTATATGGAAAAATTTTCATAAAAATATAAATTGCTACCAAGGACTCAAAGAAATAGAAAATTTGACTTTTTTTTTTCTTCAGAAGTCAGAACTTGAACTCAGGGCTTTGTATTTGCTAGGTAACCACTTGACCACTGAACTACATCCCAGCCCATTTTTATTTTGAGACAGGGTTTTGCCAAGTTGCTCAGGCTAGCCTCCACCTTTGCTTCATTGAAGCAAAGCAGAAAAGTAGTGGTTAAGAGGCTGAGAGCGGAGCAGAAAAGACCCCTGGAAAGATACATGGTGTATTGTGTTGATCAGAGACACACCGAAACCTAAGGACACAGAAAGTTTACAAATAAGAAAACGGTATACCAGGTAAACACTAAAAAAAGAACACTGACAGAGCTCCAATATGTAAGAGTGGATTCTGAGCCAAAAACTCAGGTCCCTACATATTGGCCAAAGGTTCCTTTCACCAGGAAATTTAAAACATTTCTTCTTTTTCTTCTTCTTCTTTTTAAAAAAAAAAACAACCTACTACTTTCTTTCTTTCTTTCTTTAATTTTATGTGTTGCTGAGGATGGAACCCAGGGACTCCAATGTGTTAGGTGAAAGCAATATCGCTGCCACAATCCCAACCCCTTAAAACATTTCTTAACTCCCAATTACTTAAATGGGGAAAAAAAATTCTTAACTCGTAAGTATCTAATAATATAACTTTAAAAATGTAAAGTGAAAAGTGAGACAGTAAGCGAGGACACAACATACTTGTTTCAGTAGCTAACAGGTAAAGTGGCCCCCAAAGATTAGGCTCAGAGAATACTTAATGAGCTTGATCCAAAGGATAAAATATAGAACTCTAAACACAATATCTACATAAAATCTGCTTTATTCTCATACAATGTGGGCCATTCATTAAAACTGAGAGCATGCTCAGCAATAAAGTAAACAACACATTTTAAAGAACTTCGGTGGCCCATACCTGTAATCCCAGTGACTCAAAGGCTGAGGCAGGAGGATCACAAGTTCAAGACCAGCCTCAGCAATTTAGGCCCTTAGCAACTTAGAGAGGCCCTGTCTCAAAATAAAAAATAAAAAGGGTGGGGGATATGGCTCAGTGGTAAAGTGCCCATGGGCTAAATCCCCTGCACTCCTCCACTCCAATAAAATAAAATAAAAAAGAACTGGATAGCATACAGAAATGTTTTCAACATTCATACATCTAGGTCAGAAACCTGTAATGAAAATGTGATTAATAAATCTCCAAATGCATTACAAACAAAAACATACATTTTAAAATAACCCACTGGTCAAAGAAAGTGCATATTTTAACTTGTCAGATATGGCTAAAGTTGTACTTGGAGCGAAAGGCACAGGCTTCAAATCCTGCAAAAAAAGGACAGGCTGAAAAACAAATTGAGCATCGATGTGAGCTACTGGAAAAGAACGACACAATTAGTCCAAGGGGAGCAAATATTAGGGGACTAATAAAATTAACAAACCATACCAGATTGATCAAGATTCTTTAAAAAATGCAAATAAAAGTACTAGAATTCCAGGTGTGGTGGCACACCTATAATCCCAGTGACTCAGGAGATTGAGGCAGGAGGACTGCAAATTTAAGACCAGCCTGGGAAATTGAGCAAGATCCTGTCTTAAATAAGAAATAAACAGGGCTGGGGATATCAGTGGTAGAGCCCCCCTGGGTTTTCCTATAAAATAAAATGAATGATAGAGCCTCACCTCATTTCACAGAAAAATCAATTACAGGGGATCAGGGACTTAAATGTGAAAGGCAAAACTTGAAAAACTGTTACTAAAAGTAAATAGTAAAATATCTCTTCAGACTTTGGGGAGAAAGATTTTTTTTTTCCTTTTTGGTGGGGGTGTTTTCTGAGACCCCTGCTGTATTGCCCAGGCTGGCCTTGAACTCATGATTCTCTCGCCTCAACTCTCGAGTAGCTGGATTACAGGCGAGCATTACTGTGCCTGGCAGAAAGAGAGCTTAAGAACAAACCGTGTGTGTTAACACTGATAAATCTAACTACTTTAGGGGCTGGGGTTGTGGCTCAGTGGCAGAGCGCTTGCCTAGCATGTGTGAGGCACTGGGTTCGATCCTCAGCACCACATGAAAATAAATAAAATAAAGGTCCATCAACAACTAAAAAATATTTTAAAAATCTAACTACATTAAAATTAAGACTTTTTGTTAATTTAAAAGATACTATAGCTGGGCATAGTGGCACTTGTCTATAATCCCAGAGACTTTCGAGGCAGGGCAAAAGGACTGCAAGTTTGAGGCCAGCCACAGCAATTTAATGAGATCCTGTCTGAAAATAAAAAATAAAAAGGGGTGGGGGCTGGGGATACAGCTCAGTTGGCAGAGTGCTTGCCTCACATGCACAAGGCCATGGGTTCAATCCCCGGCACCACACACACACACACACACACAAAAAAAAAAAAAAAAAAAAAAAAGGGGCTGGGGATGTAATTCAATGGTAGCACACCCCCAGGTTCAATGGTTCAATCCCTAGTACCACCAAAAAAGAAGAAAAAAAAGACATCATAAAGAAACTGAAAAGACAAGTCATAAACTGGAAGGAGATATCTATGGTATATGTAACTAACAAAAGTTCCAGATATGTAAAGATTACCTACAGGCAATATGAAAAAGGCAACCTAATAAAAAAATGAACAACAGGGCTGGGGTTATGGCTCAATGGCTGAGTGCTTGCCTCACACATGTGAGGCACTAGGTTCGATCCTCAGCACCATATAAAAAAATAAATATCAAAATGAGAATATTGTGTCTATAACTAAAAAAAAATTTTAAAAATGAACAGATGCAAACAGGCATTTTACAAATGAGGAAATATTAATGGCTGATAAGTGAAAAGATGCTTGATTTCATTAGTAACCAATGAAACATGAGTAACTACTATTTCATACCTATAGATTAGGGGAAGAAAAACGTTTTACATACTAAGTGTAAGCAAAGATATAGAACACTGGGTACTTTCAAAGAGTGCAGAAGGGAATATAATTTGGCATAACCACTTTGGAGAACAATTTGGCACTGGGTAATTTCTGAACATGTGCATATCCTGTGATTAAAGCATTTCAATTTCCAGAATATACCTTAGAAAACTCCTGCACATGTGCACCAGGAGCCACACTTCACTATGTTCATAACAATCAATAGCCAGTACCCTACTTAATGGTGAAAAGCAGAATGATTTCCCCCTAATGTCAGGAAGGCAAAACCAAAGATGCCTACTTAACATTATACTGTAGCCAAGGACTTGAGCAAAAAATGAAGTAAAAAGAATCCAGATTAGAAAGAAAAAAGCAAACTACTTTTTTTTTTTTTTTTGTACCAGGCATCAAACTCAGGAGCAATCAACCACTGAGCCACATTCCCAGCCCTTTTTTGTATTTTAGAGACAGGGTCTCACTGAGTTGCTTAGTGTTTTGCTTTTGCTGAGGCTATCAGTGAACTTGCTATCCTCCTGTCTTAGACTCCTGAGCCACTGGGATTATAAACCTGCACCACCATGCCCAGCCTGGTTGCTTTTCTTTACAAAAATTGAAAAGCTGGTCTTAAAATTTATATGGAAATTCAATGAAGGATGTCCTTTAGAACTTCCTTTAGTGAGAATCTGACTGTTGGCTATAATTTTTTTCTCTTCCCCTAATATGAGGTCTCATTATGTTGTCTGCAACTCCTGGACTCAAGCAATCCTCCAGTCTCAGTAGCTGGTACTACAGGTATACACCACTGTACCCAGCCTGGTCTATGAACTTTTTTACTTATTATTATTATTATTATTTAATTTGCAGTACCGGTAACTGAGCCCAGAAATGCTCTACCACCAAACCACATTCCCAGCCTTTATTATTTATTTTTTGAGACAGGTTCTTACTAAGTTGCCAAGCTGGCCTTGAACTTGTGATCCTCCTTTAGCCTCCTAAATTAGTGAGACTGCAGGTATGTGCCCCTGTGCCTGGCTAACTTTGTCTAAAGAACAAAACTGGAAGACTCACATTTCCCAATTTCAAAACTTACCTCAAAACTACAGCAAATCTGACAAAATGGTACTGGCATAAGTATATTACATATGTATCAGTGCCATGGAATAAAATTGAGAGTCCAAATATAAGTCCTTACATTTGATTTTTGACAGAGGTGCCAAAGGGGGGAAAGAATAGTGTCTAACAAATGGTGCTGAATATCCAAATGCAAAAGAATGCAGCTGGACTCATACTTCACACCACACACAAAGACTAACTCAAGATTACTAAATGTATCAGTTAAAACTGTAACTGTTAGACGCAAATAGGAGCGAATCTTCATGACCTGGATTAGACAACAGTTTCTTAGATGGGACATCGAAAAGCACAGCGACAAAAGAAACAAATCAATCAATTATACTTCATTAAAATTAAAAACTTGCGGGCAGGGGCTGTAGCTCAATGGTAGAGCACTTGCCTTGCACATGTGGGGCACTGGATTCAATACTCAGCACCACATAAAAATAAATAAACAAAGACATTGTATCCATAAAGGAAAAAAAAATTTAAAAACTTGGGGCTAGGGGGTGCAGCTCAGTGATACAGCACATGCCAAGCATGCGCAAGGCCCTGAGTCTGATTCTAGTACCACAAAAATCTAAACAAAAAAATTAAAAATTTAGCCAAAAAGTCAAACAACCTGATTGTCCATTGACTGAAGAATGAGCAAAATGTGACCTATCACATAACAGAATATTATTCAGCAATAAAAAAGAACGTATTTCTGAT